AGGGATGGTACAGCAACAACAGTAAGCACAACTACACTTAATAAGTAATGATATACAATGACGATTCATGAAAAGACCGATGACCCGCCGATGACAGCAGCAACGGATGGGGACAGCGGAGCAGCGACAACAGGAACGTGTAGCAATAATAAGTACTAATAATAACTAATAATGATAACAATGAATATCAGGATAAGCACATGAGCTAGGGCAGACCAGCAGGAGCGCTCCAAACAGGATACCCATGAGAACCTCGAGGACCGGAGGAAAGAACGTTATAACTACAAATACAAACACTGCTACAAAGTTAGCATCTATGGAACCAGGAAAAACACCACTCTCGCGCATTAGGTCTTACCTCAGGGGGTGTGGAGGGTGGATATGAACCGGAAGAGCGTGAATTTGTGAGATTGACCCACAAAAATCGTAGGCTGTATAACGCCAACAAACCCTTATAAAAATGCGTGGACTTATCAGGTAGAGCGACAAGAGAGAGACTTGATGACGCGCGGTGTGTTAGCAGAAAGAGGTGAAGGGATGTGAAAAGAACATGCGGCATCCTAGAATTCCAGCCGTCGTCTGCGGGTTCTCCCTCGATCGCACCAGTGAGTAATGCAAACATCCAACAGAGAAGAAACACTGATTTCCTTTTGAGCGAAGTGGATAAACTAAATTATAGATGTGTGATCGCTCAACTGTGACCTCCAACCCCTCTCCTCGCCAGACTCTTCTAGTCATTATTCTGTTATAAAGCCCAATCGAGAATATCAATCTTCGTAGAAGGGGGGTACGCGCAAGAGGGCTACTTCTGCCCAACTTTTGCAAAAACATTAGTTCATCGACCCAAACTCTTCAGGACGACTCCCGAAGCCTCAGCAAAGCGGGTACCCAACAAGAAGGCCCAGTGTAATTAAAACTCAAATTGACTAGACTTTTCTCCGTGGTGTACATTCTGCACAGTTAAAAAACTCGCCCCTGAACCACCAGTGCATAAATGTAAGCAAAACTAAAGTAAACCCCAAGTAAGTCAGTACCCCTGTCCTCCCATTGAAAACCCTAATATACGACCAAGGCCCAGCGACAGTAGACATAATAATAGAGATGACAACACCTTAAGAGAGGATAACGATAGCTCAATCCTCGGGAAATTGCTATTAAGAGTGGCAGGTTCTAGCTTGACAAGGAAAAGTCTCATTCGCCACATTTTTCAAATATTTTGTTCCCTCGTTTACTTATCATCTAGACGCAGTAGCCTATAAAAAACTTTGAAGAGAAGACCTCCTACAATCACTCTAACTATCATGGACACAAAGAAAATAGCAAAGATGCAATACTTTGGGGTAAACACAAGTGAGCAGCCACGCCTAGATATGTGTCTCCGCTCTCCCAACTGAACCGCGTGTTTTTAGACTGCGAACCAGATTCTGAAAAATGCATACTATAAAACCCGATCCGGTGCCAGCTCCCTTCACTATAGGAAATACATCACTCCTACCCGGTGAGTTTTCTCCTGACGTCTAGTTCACTATGCATCTCTGGACAGGCTAGAGTACAGCTAGATGTAATCTGCCACTGGCCACTCCCCTTAGCTAATGGAATTAAACTCCTGTTAGCGGTTTGCTACTTAACAAATTTTCTCAAATCAGGAAACATTCTAGTATCCCCGATGATCCTTGTAACAACACTTACAATGTGGGAATCAACAAAAGACCTTAGGATCTCCTTTAAGATTGACATATATCATGGTACTAACCAAAACTGATGAAATACACACATGGCATTGCTGCCCTTATTTGATACAACATTCAAATAGCACAAAAAGCAAAAAAAACCAATAGGCTAACTGCAAGACAAATCAAAAAAAGAAATGCCAGTATGGAACTATAAAGACAGAATGTATTCTAGTGACTCACACTCCAATCACGCTCTCCTCCTCCCGGGTCCTCTTACCCCGCTGCTCCTATAATGCATTTTCAAGAATTTCCACCGGGCCTGGAATGAAAAACAAAACCAATCAGTGCTGCAGCAAAAAATAGAAAGCTAGCTTTGAAGTTGGTGGCAGGGTCCCAAAGCGTCTTTATTTGACACCTGCGAAATGAGACTCAAACAATTAACTATCCATCTTTTGGCTCTTGATTGGTTTGCTTTCATTCAGCCCAGGTTTGGATTCTTACAAATTGCCATTAGGAGCGCGAGGGGAGGAACATTAATGAACACATCTTCATGTACTACTGTCAGGAAACGTTTCAGGCAAAGTAGTTGTATTGCGTTGTATTGGTATGAGGAAGTTGATGAGACCTAATGCAGCTCAATTAAAGGTTTTAGTTACCGCGTAATATCAAATATAATATAATCAAATAAATAAAAATGTTGAGTTATTAGGTGAGTTCTATCGTAACTCAATATTTCAAAGATTAAGTTGAGTGTGATATGGGAGCTCTGTTTTGGCCTGTCTTAGTCCTAACGAGTAGATGATTAAGAATAGCTGGCAGTATTATGTAATAAAAACATATGGTAGACAGGTAGCGCATATCGGTAATCTCTCAAACAGGTTATATCCAAAGCCACACTTACAAGCGACAATCAAGTTACTGACAGTGGCAACTATAGTAAAAGGAGAATCAGCATCGGCCGCCATCTGTCGGTGGCCACGTGAATTCTCTTACCTGCGCCAATATGACGCATGCTCCTCACTCGTGTTCAAAACTACCATGGCAGCGTATTAATGAGCTATGATATAGTAGTCAATACTGCCACTCCCTCTAACAATCCCCAAAAGCACCACCCCTCACGTGATTTCTACACAACCCTTGCAATTTTTCTGCCAAATAAATCATAAGTAGTCCCACAATAACTACAAGCCTCATATCAAAAAGAGCCCCAAGTGTCCTAAACAACATGTGAGTTCACTAAAGTCAACCAAACTCTTCTCATCCTCGCGCTACAGAAGACTCACTGCTGGGCTCGTAGTAGCAGTTATCATGTGATAATAATGATTTTTTTATTATCCTATTATTATATTCCATGTGTTGACTTCACTAAAGATGGCATTAAGGTGTCCTGAGATAACTTCTGTTATGAATTGGCGCTATACAAATAAAATTGAAATTGAAATTGAAATTAAAATCCTTCATCCGGTTCAAATCTAGAGTTACAAAGCACCAAGATCTAAACAGTGGATGGTAAAAATGTGGCTTCAAACTAGATAAACACTCAATGTATGGCTGGTGTTTACAGCCTTTTTTATGTACATTTAAAAAAAAAATTGAAAATTCATAAAAGTCTTAAATGAAACCAGTTGAAACCTGCAGAAACCCTGCTACAACAAAGTCCAACGAGTAACTGAGACAATCAGACAGGTTGTAAACAAACCAGCCATTTGTTTCCAGATGATCTAAACCCTTTGAACATGGTGATAAAACTGAATGTAAGAGCACCTGAAATGTTGGTAATTGTCCTGTCTTTCATTTTCTCTTCTATCAACCTGTGGGTTTGTTTACAGCCTGTTTGACTGTTCTGTTTCTTTGCCTGTCGAGATAACTTGTACAATGTTATTATTACTCACAGCAATAATGGCCAAATCTATACATATATTAAGTCCCAAAAAGTAAAAAATCTGAACCATCCTTTAATATGTTGATGTATATGTATATGTAGTAAAAAAGCTGTGTTTAGCTTCCACTCTTTCTGCCTTTGGAGTGCTTTAAAATAGATTGGGGACAAGGTGACATTACTGGATGGGTCAATTCTTGTGGATATATCATGCCAACACACACTGGTGGCATATCATGCATGTCAAAACACCTTGATTTCTTTGTAAACCCACATGTAGGCAACGTCTGGCTATACCACTGTCCTAATTCCCAGCTTCAACATGCGTCACTGCTCCAGAAAACCAGCAATTTAATCACATTCACTCCCTGGAGTGGCTTGACTACTTTTTTTGTCTGTTTGCCGCTTCCGCTTTGTGCTACAGACATCAAATGACGCAATGCTATGAGAGCAGCCAGTGTGTATTACCACTGTAGGGCGCAACTCACAGGCGACACAAAAGGTGATAATGGAATAACAATCTGTATCGATCGAGAATAGATGAGTTTATCAGTGGGTCAGATATGTTTCACGGACGAGGAGAAGAATTTGGGATATTTTTTGTATGTTCTATCTAGACCAAGTGTGACCAAGACCAAGTGTGAATCTGTCCCTGATTAGCTTGTCAGAGTGAAAAGCAGCAGGGCTCTGGGTGCCGGGGGCAGGGATTGAGAACTGCTGGACTATGTAACAGGTCTAAGAGCAGTAATCAGGAAAGGAGGGCTAAAAGGATAATACGAGAGTTAGAAAGGGAGGGTGGAGATAAAGTGAAAGATGTAGAAGACTGAGTCAGAGACTGGTTGGAGCTTCTGAAAGGAATGAGGAAAAAAGGAATCGGACAATAGGGGGGTGGCGAGGTGGGAGTGGAAACGACAGAAAAGTGTCGGAGAGCTTACAAATTGGAAAAAGGGCTTAGGAGGAAGCAGGAATAAGTGAGTGGGTGACTCACGGGGGTTTAACATCTCTTTTGCTGTGGTGAATTGCCAGATGAACATGATGTGAAATTCATTTCCAAAAGGAGAAGTCTGCATAATGCTCCTAAAGCAGGAAACATGCAGACATACATTCTTTCTTTATTATAAATGTGAATGTAGCTGGCAGAGCATGGTATCCATGGGCTAAGACAGTTTTATTCACAAATGTACAAGAAAAGACAGTCACAATACTTCCATATTCAGCCTCTTAGAACAACATATTTTTGACATATTTTTAGTTATATCCAGTCATGCTGATCATTTGGTTCTGTTTGTTCAGATTTTCAGATTGGGTGTGTGTGTGTGTGTGTGTGTGTGCGCTTCCCAAGTAACAGCCCCATGGAACCTATTTAATGTGTGTTCTGTGGATTAACCAGTGTGATCAGGACATTATTTCTGGAAAGTGACGTTGTTATTTTTCATACCTGTGAACACCGCAAACTAAATTACAGAGGAATAATAATACCCAAACTATCTGCACTGCTACGTGGCCACATTCGCCCTTTCACACACATTCACTCAGTGATGCAAAGGCCATCGAACAGAAAAAATTTTAAAAAGAAGACTACTATTTGGTGCTTTCTACATAATGTCTATGTTTGACAAACATCACATAAAACATCACATTCCTGGTGTTAAACCACCAAACAGAAAACATGAAGAAGTCGCGGAAGTTGGCATTTTTCTGAGAAATTGCATCTGAACATTGCAGGAGCCCCGAGGTCCTGCGTAAAACATGAAGTTCAAATGGTTCAGAAAGGCTCAAAATTTAACTAATTATTTGTAATTAAATAATGCATGGTGTAGCCTTATGGCCGGTAAGACATATGTTTGCCTGGTTAAAGTACCAGTGTGTAGGATTTGGTGTTTTTTTAACGGTAAAGTTGCAGATTGCAACTTCACTCACAACACCCTCTTCTTTCGGAGTGCAAAGGAGAAACTATGGACTAACACCCCTATCTAGAGCCAGTGTTTGGTTTGATCTAAATTTTGCACACTGGACCTTTAATTCATCTTTAAGTTGCAAATTTGGCAAATAAGCAAAACTGTTATTTTGGGCCCTGCTTTACGAGGTGATCTGACAGCTGCTGCACCTCTGCTCAGTTCACTGTTAGAATATAAAGGGAAGGAATTCAAAAGGAATAAAAAACAAAAGAATCAAGACAAAACTACGTGAGAGAGATTATTACCAAGGGGAAAACAGGCCTGGAAAAAGAATAGTGCTGCAGCCTGTTTACTTTGCTGTTGCTTTATATAAGCTCACTAGATGGCACTGTTGCTCAACATATATTTCCTTAAAAACACACACCACTGGGCTCATGCAGCCAGACCAAGCAACTGCATCACCCAACATCTGCACAACTAATCCTGGACAACATAAATCATGTCACAGACTTCTCTTCTTTTCCATACATAAACACTTAAATCCACTGTTTAAATCCACATTTTCTGTGACAGTTGAAGGACAAAACACAACTCCATAACTCTGTGATTCCATAACAAAGAGCAATTTCTTTCTAATAAAGAGGATTGGAGGAAATCATCGAGTCCTCCTTATGTTTTTATTGGACATCTCATTTAATTTATTCATGGCTCTATTCATGCACATTAGTTTAATAATTAATCTCTTTAGTAGTCTAATGCCTGACATCAAAGGAAGCTTGTAAGAGCTCTGCACAAACAGACTACAAACTACTAAAGGACCTAAATGGCCAATAGGAGATGTGTTGTGCTAGCATTTTCTGCATAATTATACATTTCTCAAGTAATAATGAGTTGACCAGAAAGAATTTGGTATTATATACACACTATGGGGTCTCCATTGCAATGTTATAAATTAACCATATGGTTTTGGAGTGCAGCATGGGGAACTCAAAATTTAGACATACTCTACTGTAACTCACATAAAACATTAACTTAGTGACACTACAAATCAGCATACAACATCTCTGCCTTGGGCTGAACGCTCAAGTATAGACAATTGAAACCACAGCTGACTGTAACATTGATCCACTCTGGATATTTCAGAGAGTTGTGAATTAAGCTTACTGTAAGTTTCTAATTGTCAAAGAAGTTCTCACTTTACTGACTGACAATGGTTGAAGATAACATTTAATCAAGTGCTGCACTACCCAAGAACAGTTTAGAGGCATGTGTACTTACTTTAGTTTCACTTCATTCCATTTTTCCAAAACCCACCTGCTTTGCTTAGTTTTAAATATTTTCATCTGTTTTATTTGTTACTCATATATTGTGTCTGCATTTTATGTCTTCTTATTGCTACTTCACTTACATGCTAATGTATCAATAATTGATCATTATAGTGGTATAACAGACATGGACCCTTCTGAATCATGACAGCTTTTACTTTTAATACTTTAGAGTCATATTATTGTATTTTGAACTTGTTTAAAGCCACCACCATACCACTCCTGAGGTTGTTTGTAGACTTAGGTTTTAGGTTTATAGTGGTGCCATGTTTGATTTAATCTTTTATGTCAACTCAAACATAATTCCAGCCAAGCAATCAAGCAAGAAGTAAGTGTCCTATAATGACATTCTTTAAGGTGTGACCATACAGTTCTGGAGTGTGACTTAAACCAGACGTGGGTGATGCTTAAACTAGAAGTGGGCAGATTATAAAGTAGTCATTATGAGTGCAACATTCAGACAGTGTTAGACAATCTAACATTACTAAAGCTGTCACTTTTTCCAATAATCAAGTTAAGTTTGTTTTAATTAATTTGAACAAATTGCATGACATTTCCGATTCGTTCGAATGTCAAACAAATAATCTTAGATCACATGTTTCAATTGTATGACACCACAATGGAAAACCTAAAGGAAAGACTATTCTAAAGGCTAAGACAGTCATGCATGTCAGTCATTACCACTGTCTAGACATAGTGATTACAATTTTAGACTGTGTGTAGTGTCTGTTGACAGATAAAAATGCTGTTTTTAATATTGTATTAGGTAACTAATTGACTGTCCCAGTGTATTTGTCCAATCATTTAGATAATCAAATGCTTTGACAAATGTGGATTTGGTTATCAGGGACATTTCCGCAACATTGCCTTTCTACATTCCACACTTTCAACACATAGGGTAATAAAAAAAGCTCTGTCTGGATGGTATTTGCGAAAGGTTATACTGAGCCTTCATTTGTATCAATGACTAACTGGTGGATGGTTTTCAAGACAGGTTTCATGCTGCCCGGTTATCTTTTGGCACGCTATCCAAGGTCCACCCTCTAAACTGGAACAGTCCAAGTAACAAAACGGTCTCCGAATTATTTTGATTGTGAGGATTGTTCTCAAGACTGTGGCCCTATCTCTTTTTATCTGGTTGAAGCCTATTGATCAGACGAATTGATTGTTCATACATTATCTTTTTGTTCATGTCATCTCTACCTCCGTCTGTCTCTCCTCATCTCTCAAGGATATCGACTGGGTGCAGACGGAGAAGCATGTGTTTGAGCAGGCGTCCACCAATCCATTCTTAGTAGGCCTCCACTCCTGTTTCCAGACAGAAAGTCGGTAAGAGTATGATAAGGCTGACACACTGTACAGTTTTTACTGCCAATACATTTCAGTCACAGCACTTTTCAATAATATGAAATATTGCTTTCTGATCATGGTCTGTTCTTCATTAATGGTGAGGCTGGTGTATTTTTATGATTTAAAAATTATCAATAAATACCACGGAAATAAATGTACCTACTAACAAGTATTGTCCGTGTAGCAAAAGCCTAATATCTTAATCTCTCAATCTCAAAAGTTATTGTGACATGAAATAGAGAACACCTGTGCTTTTGGGTCATTTAGATTGCTCAGTTTGTACTTGCAGGCACAGATGTGCTGTATTTGATTTCATCATACGTTTTGAGAATCCTTTTTGTCATTTGCCCTGGACCAAAACTTGGCTTCATTATCAAATACTTGCACTGGAGCCTTCCTTTCCCCATATTAGATGTGTTAGGCCTTCTTGAACCTTAGCAGTGTGTTGTGAGTGGGGTTATCTTTTCAAAAGTCTAATAAACATAAAAGAGCCATACCATACTATAAACTATAAACCCAGCGGGCAGAGCAAGTGTAGTTTTTAGAGTCAGCTCGTCAAACAATGTAAACGCTAAACCACAAACCTGACAGTGACGTCTGCATGAGACTGAAATGCAGTTGTGGTTTCAGGGAAAACAGCATGTTCACCTAAATGAACCAGAATGTATCCTAATGTTTTTAATGAATCTTGCTATGGCATTGGAGCTCATTGACACAGAGACGTGATCTATATCAGGCCAAAAGAAAATACTTGTTAGCAAGTTAATTGATTATTGGTTTTGGCCTTATTTCCACTGCAGGGTTGACTTTTCTTGATTTTGCCGTAGTAGAAGTAGAATATTACTTCAGTAATCCCAGATGGGGGAATTCTTTTTTCACTGATTGTTTTACACACATAGACCCCAAATAAAATCATGCACACACAGGGCTTATAGACATGCAAATGTGGAGATATGGACTGCCACGCAGCAGCACTCCAAGAGCAGTTAGGAGTTATTCTTAGCTGATTGCATAAGAACACCGCGTGAAACTGCCGTGACATCATCTTCAAAGCGACACTTACACAGGAGGATGTCTCATGTCATGCAAGGGATGGTTCTAGTGACTGTTCTCCCTCACGTTTTAGTATCGGCCAGTGGTGGGTAGAGTACTGAAAATCCATACTTCAGTAAAAGTACAATTACTTCATAAAACATGACTCAAGTAAAGTTACCTTTTGAGAAATCTACTCAAGTAAAAGTAAAAAACAACTGGTCTATACAAGTTACTGTTTCAATTTATATAAAAGTATAAAGACTTTTATATAAATCTTTAAAAGTAGTCAGCTGGGGCCAGGGATTGTCGCTGGAAGCTAGCTCTTGTTTTGGGTTTTTCTCCATCATTGCATTATTTTTCTTCCAGGCAGCAGCAACATGGCATCTGCAGTATAGGTGCTCCTCACACGCTCACCACCCCGACACTGAATACCCATATTTTGAGCAATTGAAGTGAAGTTAAAAATAAGTAGCAAAGTAAAAGTACTCTAATAAAGACTAAAAGTACAGTCTAGAAAAAGGAAATGAAAGGTAATCATTCCTTACCATGTGCATTAATTGTAAAACATTACTACCTAGCCCTGATATTGGCTTAGCTCACTTGGATCCAAAAAAAAAGAACAAAGTAGCAGATAGTATCCACAACTTCTGCCTATGGAAAACCAAAAAAGAATGGTTCCAGCAAGTCGAGTTGAGTTGAGCCAAACTGAACCATGCAGTGGAAGTGATGCTTTAAATAGATTTGTTAGCACTGATTCAGTCGGGTTCAAAAGGAACTTGTTGAAGAGTCAACAGGTAACGGTTTTGTATGGAGAAATGTATTTAAATATATAGAATATGCCATCTTAAGAAACTGATTTTGAATCAAAGCAGACATACTGTAGCACATGTACTCTTATATATATACTCCATATATCTAATATACTTTTTTTTTTGCAGGACAAATTGTTATGTATCTTATTTTTCATATGTTTTAATGATAACATTTTACAAAGAGCTTCTGTTAAACAGTCTCAGTGGCGTACTGATTCTCCCATCCTGCTCTGGTTACCAGGTTATTTCTGGTGATCGAATATGTGAACGGCGGGGACTTGATGTTTCATATGCAACGACAAAGGAAGCTCCCTGAGGAACATGCAAGGTAAACATCCAGATGTTGCAACATCTGTTTATGTACATTATTTAAAAAAAAACTAAGTCCCAGTCCAGAATTTGGGCATCTAAATGTAGACTTTAAGTGTATTACTTCCACATAGAAAATGACATGTACAGGTGGCATTTATTTAAAATTCTAATTAATTTAAACATATATGAAGTGAACTGACTTTTCCTTTGGCCTTTCTCAAGTGCTCAGACTGTATTATGTCATAAAAAAATCAGGACCAAGTGGAGGTACGGTAATAAAGGCTCCAGGAATAGACTTTTTGATCAGAGGAGGACATAGAAGTGGGTGAATTTATGATTGGATTTTGGTTAAGTTGACATGGCACAGTCAGCTAGCTGCACAGAAAACACATCTATGCAATTGGCAGCTATTTTGGGTTGGACTGATTGAACCTCCTCCAGATGGGTTCCTTTGTATTTCACATGATGGTATTATGTGAAGTACAGGGCGTATGTAGTTTTTGTCTTTTGGTTGGAACAAAAACCATCAGTTTCATAAAAAGCATCTTGTGTTTTGCGGTGTAGGACAGCTGGAGTGTGTGTGCTTGGCTGAAGATGCTTTTACATGCACCTTCTTTGCACTCAGTCTAAATGTTCCTCAACAGCATACTTCTTATAAGTACTCCTTATGCTTAATGGGATACTTTAGCAGCCCTTCATGGACGTGGAAACGCTGCCAAAACCCAACTTAACACAATTTTTACACCTATATATAGTGAACCAAATATAATGAGCGCCCATAATTCATTGTGCCTGTCTACTTGCGGGGTACTCCAACTGCAGCTCTGATAAATGCTGGATCAAAGGCTGGGTAATTTAGAGAGGCACCGTTGGGCCCCTATCGGCCCCTGCAATCTGTATTCTGGAGACCGTGGCTGTACATATGCAAAGCAGCATGTTAATCACTCATAATGATTGTACATATTCATGAGCAGCGCTCTTAGAGAGATCCCTGCTGCATTCCCCCGCGCTGTGGGGGAGGCGGGTCGGTGGGCGATGGATGGTGCTGCTGATAGGACGAAGCTTCCATCAGTCTGATGCCAGCAATGAAACAACGGCGTACAATGGAGGCTGTCACAGTGAAAATGTGGGGGAGCGATGTGGGATTTGTGATTTCTCTGTCAAACATCTCCCCACTACAGTCTTTCCCTCAGTGTTTGACAATCATGGATTTACAGCAGGCAGACAGAGGAGCTTGTCAGTGTTAATGAAGGCTTATCTCCTAGAGACAGAATACACACAACCTACACATGGAGAGGAGACATGCTACTGACTCACCAAGTACATCGAATCATGGTCAACACTATAGGGTTTTAAGGGTAATGTTTGCTATAAATACCTATGCTCATTATAATGTGAATAATCATTGTAACATAAATCTACTTATGAAAGTCCTTTATACCTCAAATCTCAGTGACCCATTAGAAATAACCAGATGTGCTACATGTGTTTGTGTTTCTGTATTTGGTACTTCATATGTAATCAAACACAGTCCAGGCTTTTGATGTGCCTCCTTCACTATTATGTGCATATAAATGTTCTTCCTTTGTGCACCTAATAAGTGTGTACGCGAAATCAGTCGGATTCATGAAACGCGTGTACCGGACAATTTTGTTCTTACTAGCGTGCGTATGTTGGTGAATCAGAGTTAAATAAATAAATAAAATTTGTCTTGGCCTGCACCTGCTTGGAAATAAATCTAAATCTTTTTTCGAAATTTGAAGATTCATTGCAATTTGAATTCTAAATCAACATTTGAATGCTGCGCAGACCACTGTGTAAGATGACTCTATCAAAACATAGCAACCAGGTTACATCGCTGTCTCAGTCTCTTTCCTCATCTGCACTCTGTATGAAGAGCTCCAGGTCTGTGTGTCTTCTTTTTGTCCGAGGGCACGGCTGAGACAGAAAGGATGAATGCTTCTGACGCATTCCTACAAAATCCGGCAGTGTGGCTCCTCACTGCAGGGTTGTGCGAAGGTGTGACTGTGTTTATTTGTGTTTTAGAGTCAAGTGCAAAGCCCCCTTTTCCTTCCTACCACGGCCACAGTTGAATCACAGATCTCTGTGGCTTAAGACGTGGGTGCAACATAGTAATAATCATGCTTTATAATTAATTACCATTGTGACTGCGATGGTGTTTGTGATGTGTTGGAAATGTTCCAAAAATGTTATTAGGTCCAACCAACTTGAAACTTTTGTTACAACCTTTACAAAACACTGACTCAGGGGGTTATGTACACTTGAGACCGTGCAGCTACCAATGTCTATAGATTGATATTTTCTTGAAAGTCTTTTGCCTCATGGTGGCCCTAGAGGACAGGTCAGACACATCATTCTCTGTATTTGTCCTTCACAGATTTTATGCTGCTGAAATCTGTATTGCTCTGAACTTCCTGCATGAAAAGGGCATCATATACCGTGATCTGAAGCTGGACAATGTTCTCTTGGATCATGAAGGACACATTAAGCTCACAGACTACGGCATGTGCAAGGTAAGAGACGCATTGATTTCATTCAGTAGACTGTGAGGATGGCGGACGTAAGCTTATCAATAATGCAGTAGATCTGTATTGATTGGAAGTACTAACAGGGCCCCTATCTTTTTTTCGTCCACCATTCATGTTCTCGTACATATGATCTCTCCCACACTGTCTCTTTTATCTCTGTCACAACTGTTCTTCTCCTTCTTCTTTCCTTCACCTTGATTCTCCTTCTGCTTCTTCTGCTTCCCTCAGGAGGGGATTAGACCGGGTGACACCACTAGTACTTTCTGTGGAACACCCAACTACATTGCACCTGAGATCCTTAGAGGAGAGGACTATGGTGAGTACAGGAGACACGCTGGGTCCAAGCACTGATCCCAACAACCATATTTAGATTTTGAAATAACTTTTGATAAATCTTTACATCTTAAAGAGAAAGCTGGACTAAAATACACACCACAAAAACACCTGGAAACTTTTGTAGCCTAATGTGCATGGAGAAGGTTTTTTCCCTTGTCCAAGCCTCAGTTTGGAGGAATTCGGAAAATTGCTTTTCCTGCCACATATATCTGAATTAATATATTGTCTTACTGTTGTGTTCCCTCCCAGGCTTCAGTGTGGACTGGTGGGCTCTGGGTGTGCTGATGTTTGAGATGATGGCTGGGAGGTCCCCATTTGACATTATCACCGACAATCCTGACATGAACACAGAGGAGTACCTCTTTCAAGGTGAGACAAAAGAATTTAACAAGACATGGTCAAGCTACACACTGCAGCAGGAGGTTTCATGCCACCACAGTGCGGGGAGAAAGGCTTTGAACTGGGAACTTGTCATTTTTAATTATCTTCAGCTTTTGATGAGCATGTGCACTTTTGGGTTACTAACACAAGTTTCTGTATGTACTAATTGTTATTTTATTTTGAAAAGGCTGTGAAGAATTGATCTGTATTGTAAAAGCAATAATGCCAAACATAACTTTTTCAAAAAGCTTGAATTTCTTAAATAATAGCTACGTCTGAAACAAATATTGAAAGGATTCATTATTTGTGGTACCATAAAGGTGTTTTTTGAAGGACATTTAGTGGCATATTTAGTGGCATCTAGCGGTGAAGTTGCAGAACTGAATGCCACTCAACTTCCAAGCATGTAAGAGAAACTGTAGTGGTTGCGAAACATGGTGGTTAAACATGGCGGACTTCGTAGAATAGGACCTGCTCCCGCTGTAGATGAAAATGCTAATTTTAAGGTAACGAAAGCACAGTGATTTTTATTTTCAGATGATTATACACTAATGAAAACAATATTATATTCCATTCTGCCAGTATATCCTCTTTAATGTTAGATACTGGACCTTGACATTTTGTTTGCATCTGCCCCTAGAGTTACCTGAGAGTGCCCTCTAGAGGAAAGGTCAGGTGGGTTACATGTTTTTCAGAAAGGTTGAATCATCTGGGGGCCATGAATATCAGGTTACATGGAAAACTGACCATCAACGAAGTACAAAAGTGTTGGTTAAGGGAAATGTTGACCTGATAGTGGTGCTAGAGGAAATATTGAGGGGGGGGACCAAATCATTTGTAGTCATCCTATGGGGACCATAAATATCCAACCAAACCTTATGGCAGCTTCACTGTGAAGCAGTGTTGGATGGACAAATAGACTGATGGACTTGTTAGGACAATCCAATAGTTGTTGAGACTTTTAAAGGGGAACTTGGCAAC